TTTAGTGCTTTGCTTATTAAATAAATCAATTTTTTATTCTAATGTCGCAAATATAATGAATAACTATCATATATTTATTAACAGGAAGATTTAGTTCCACAATTACAAAATTACAAGCCTATATATGGCTTAATACATATATGGCTTAATGCATGTCTTGTCGTATGCTGCTTGTAGCGAATATTTGATATTCATGTCGATCGAAAGCGATCGAATTAGCCAATTCGTAATATAACATTGATGTCATATGGACGTCCTCGTAAATTTCAACGCAAGGCTCATGCGTCGTCACGGCCAACCACTCATACAACCCCTAATTGCCATTAGTTGGTAGCCACTTCTCTGAAATTGGTTCCTCCGTTTCGCTCTGCGCTCTCGTTCTGATGCGCGCATACACACACACACACACACACACACTTGCCTGTGTCTACGAATAAATTTGATGACCCTCATGCTAATCTAGACATATATTTTCACTTATAGAAACTTTCATTCATTCGTATATAATCAACTTCCGCATCCATTGCACTCATCCAATAATCAGGATTCCACTTGATCAGCTTAATACCGCGAACGATAATACGATTTAGTGATAAAATCGCTTTGTTACGCACGTAATAAAGAATCGATACGATCTATTTCAAGTAGATGTCTCGGGAGAGATTAGATTTTAATTAAAACATGTCGAGAGCGCGATTACGTTCGAGAGTAGCTTAGTTTTGCGCAAGGTGGGTCTGAAATACGTATGAAGGTCCGATAGCGGTGGCACAGATTGTATCGACGGGAGCATCACTTGATGCGCCCGGCATCGCGTGCATGTACGTCGATCGTGATCGCGCCTCACGGCGCCCGAGGAACGAGCAGAAAGGATTGTATCTATTTTCGACGTTCAATTAGAACAAAAGCACGCAAAGCCGGTGCGCAATTGCTTGGACGAGTAGCGATGTTTGATTCCTGCTACGATATCCGTGGAATCAACCCTTCGATTGTGGTTCCATTGTCGTTCGTAATTCAGTGATCGCCGACAGCTTTGATAAATTACTCCACTCTATCGGTCGTGTTAGATATCGTGTTCGCACGCTTGGCTTTAGTGTTTTCCTGAAGCGGCTTGTTAACTTAGCTCGTGACTTTTTGCTCGAAAATTCAAGACAAAAGGGATATGTTCGATAAAAGTTGAACGAAATATCCCGAAGCCATAAAAGAAATCTTCAAGATTATATATATTTTTACGTTTAGTTAACCCCTTCGTTGGCATTGACGCAAAAGTGCGTCAAATTTTTCCGTACCCTGTGTGGCATTGACGCAAAAGTGCGTCAACCTTTTTTTCCTATAACTTGCTTCGATTTGGCATCCTAGTCTTACACGGGGGTTTTTGGGGTCGCTGATTACGAATCTGAATTCAAAATTTGCAAATTCAAAATGGCGGATCCAAAATAGCGGATAAAAATGCAAAAAATTACTTAATTGGGATGAAATTTGCCATTTTGAATTTTCGAATTTTAAATTCAGATTCGTAATCAGGGGCCCTCAAAAACCACAGGGTACAAATTTTCAGGATAAAAAATTTTCCTGCCATTTTTGGCACTTTTTGTCGAATTCTCTCTGCCAACGAAGGGGTTAAATTTAAATGTTGCACTGAATTCAGCAGGTCAGTCAACCTCGCAACGTCACACGACACGAGAGTGTGCGTCGTTCTTTCTTCGCGCCTGCATATGGAATCTCTGGTTTTATCGTTAACCGTAATGCGCATTCATCAAGTTTTACTCGCGTATTATCGAGGCGCAGCAGCGGAGCGATGCCATTTGCGTACACCGGCGAACAAACGTCCGTGGAATTAACGCTCGCTGCGGGCCGAGCCTTAATGGTTTCACGCGTGTTTACCGTGGCGTTATCGTTTGTTCGAATAATTCCCTACGAGTCGACGCCCTCGGTCGGGGGGCACTTATCAAACCCGGCGCTCTTCGCACCTTCCCATTTATTTCCAGACGGTTGAACGGCCACCTGCTCCGTCAGAAAGCACGGCGTGACTCTCGGCGCCAACCGAAATCAATGTAGGTATATTAAGCTATCTAAGCCGAATTATCAGAACACACAAAATTTTATATGGAATTAATTTGCTAATTATTTGCTATTTTTGCTTTTAAAATTAATTTTTTTGCTTCAGTTATTAAAAAGTTACGAAGGGCTGGATATCTTAAGATTAAAAATTTTAAAACCAAAAAATAGCAAATAATTAGCAAATTAATTCCATATAAAATTTTTTATGTTCTGATAATTTGGGTTATAGATAGCTTAATATACCTAATCAATGCCCTGAAAAATCGTCGACGACGATGAGAAGCGCATGGCCCTCGGTGAGTAGAAATCTCCCGGTCTTATCAGGGAACAAGGTCGAGATAGCTCCCTGATGAATGACGATGATGTTTCGCGCGTCATGGAAAAGCGCCGCGGCCCAGCTCGGGGGGGGGACGAGATTATTAATTATTATCAAGCGAACAGTTCCTGACGCGCATGACCGCGCACGAATAAACGTCGCGCGCGTGCGAAGGTGCGTGCTCGTGTGCGTGCGTGCGCCCGATGCACGCACGACCGGATACGAATTAGCGCAATTGCAATTGGTATATCTAGCGAGCCGTTTATCACATTGATGCCGACTTTAATTCTTAACCGTGGACACGAATTGCCAAGCGCTACGCAAAAAAAGTGTGCCCCGACTGTTTAAGTATTTTATCCTTGCAAAAAATTTATGAACAAAGCGCATTTGCATGCTATGCCACAGACACTCCGGACCACTCCGAAAGCTTTCGTCACGCCAGCCACGTCACGCACTTCGTGCCCACTTTTATTTTTCACATTCTCGCCGATCGAATCTTGCTACAACAGCACACGATACTGTGTGAAATGTCACGACATTACAAGAGCTTTAGTCCTTAATTTATCTGTTGTTACGTAATAAAATTTCAGATTAATTTTTTTTTGTAATTAAAAAGTGATTACAAACTTTAGTCTTTAGAATGAGAGACGGGATCTGATTTCATCAATCTCACTCAATTGAGAGGAACTTCGAATGCGAAGAGTTAAATCTTGATGAAGGGGATAATTTATTGTTCAAAGGCGTTTAATAGGTCATTAAAATTTCAAAGTGATTCATGTGACAGCAATTAAGAATGAATTGATACGCATTTCGAACGGTGGAGCGTGGATACGCATGCTTATTATTATTTCTATCGAGCGGATTCGGCACGCATTGCAATGTATGAATTAATAGGCATCACCCGCGGGAATGTACGAAATTATTTGCATACAAGAGTATGCCCGCGTCTATTAGTTGCATATACTGTCTGATTATTTATGCTTGATAGGATTAGTTGTTTGTGCGAACTGCGAACTACCCTCCTGCATAACTATCGAATGCAATTTCTTGGAACAAAAGCAAACATCAGACTAACTTGGTGGAACTGTATACACAAATACAAAACACATGTTTTTTACATGCAAGTCATAAAATATTGTGTTTGAAATGATTACTTAAAATAAGAAACTATTATTTTTGTTAAAAATAAGAAATTAAAGTTTTGTTGGGAAGAGCAAGCACACAGACTTCTTCGACAAATGTCGCATTTTTGAAAGCACTCTCACGTTTGGACAAACGCAAGGGTGTAATTGATCACGTCAAGAACGTATTAGTCATCAAAGATTTGTTCTAATAAAATTAGTACACGCCGAAAACAAGGTAGTAAGGTTTCGATTTTATAATTTTTCTTTATACTATTATTAGTCGTGCTGTTAAATAGAGTTAGCGTGCGTCGCAACATGTATCGTGAATCGCCGAGTTAATCCGCGCGTCTCCCTTAACGTACGACGTAAAGGTTGCCAGAGGCATGCGCGCGTGCAACGTGCGATCGCGGCGAGATCAATCGGCCCACGAATTAGCGCCTCTTGCAGCTCCGTCAAGCACTAATGCTTTTACGCGTGTTTACATTAACGTTATCGCCGCCGGTTCGAATAGTTTCTTCCAACCCTGCCGCGGCTCTTCGTTTCCCTCCTGTTTGGCACGACGTTACTGGGTCATTACGAGTCGAACGCTCTCCAGCCGCCACTTACACACGATATCTTAGCGCGCCGCGCGTACCTTCTTACCTCGCCGTACCCACACGCACCCATCCTACGCGCGCGAGCACCCGTACCGGACGATTAACGCGCCCACAGACGTGCACGCACACGCGTGCACGGCGTGGGCGTTCTCCGTCACGTCTATCGACCGACGACGCCGACAACAACGGCTCACCCGAACACGGACGCGCTGTCGCACGCCAAGTGCTCGCGTAGAAACACGGAATCGAAGCTGCGGACCCAGGAGGCACGCGATTCACTGATCCGTCTTGCGAGAGGCGTTACCGTTATCTTCATCGGCCAATCTCGTCCGAACGACTAATAGGTTCAGCACGTGAATACCTTGGCGGCTCGGCTATAGGACCACGTGAAAAGGCCTTCGGTGCATGTAAGTACTCCTCTCTGTGACCGTTGGAGTGATTCGCCAACGGTGTGTACGATACGAGAGAGAGCTAGAGCTGCCTAAAACCACGCGGCCACGGATCAGGGAAACGCTGATTTGCATCGGTCTCCATCGCCGAATTATTCTCGCGAATTCGTTTCCTTAGACAACGTCAGATTCGATAGATACGCCGTTTGGTATACGCTGCTGTATGAACATGAAGATTACAAGCTGGAGAGATTTCGTATGCGACAAACGAGGGTTGTCAGAATGAATTATAATCCACACGCTTACATTTGCGGCTTGCATCGCATTAACGCGTTAAGGGTCAGCGACTTCATTACAAAAGTGGCAACACTTGTCGCTCGGTAAAGAGAAATAAACGGCCATCCAGGAAGATATCCCTAGACAGAAAAATATGCGAAGCGTAGTTGAATGTTTTTTCTTTCGCGAAATACGCGCGTCAACTTGTCGGTAGTTCCATGTCTACCTCGACGCGCAAATGGAGAACTCTCGTAGCTCGTTATGCACGCGATAATTGCGTACTTACATTAATGATTACATGGAACTACGTATGTGCAGCACTTTACGTCCACTGGGCACGTTTACGCTTAACGGCCGCGTTATACATAGCGAAATGTTAGAAAATGTAAACAATAATTTGTTCCACTCCAATATGATTATTGAAGATAAAAACGTTGCGCAAAAAACGATAGGTTTATAATGATACGCGTATAAACGCGGTTTCGTACTTTGATGCCGCGTCATTCCAAAATATCGGTGTATTAGTTTATAAAAGTAGCTTAGTAACAATGCTAAGTTTTATCTACGATTTTTTTCGACTCGAAGCAAATTGGACCGGCTATGGCGCCTGTTTGATAGATTGCGATTCCCGTAAAAACACGTTTAAGAAACCGCATTGCACGAGCATGCAACAGAGATTGACAAAGTAGGTCGCGTAAGTAGAACATTTCTTGATCGTCATTCAGTATGGGCGTACATTAGGGTAATCGGAGATTCGTTTTAAGCATCCACCAGGAGGGGCCTTCATTTTTTTTTCCGCGCGAAATGATCGACATGCTGACTCAGCGCTAATTCTCGCTTATAGCCTATTACTCGATGAAAAGCACTCTTTCGGCACTCTTCTATTTATGTAAGACATTATTTCGAATACGCTATTTACGCTAACGCAATCACCGACTTCGTGATGCTTGATCTAGATTACGCTGAATGGTATTTTTGTGCGGCGCGTCCATTAACTCATTTAATAGACTGTCACTATGAAAGGTAAATGTCGCTCACGTTATCATAACGTTATAAATTAGAGTTACGACAACACGAGTAAATTTAATGCCGCGCGAAATTAATTCATGGCTATGAACTCGAGAAAACGAAAGATAGAACGAACATCGCAATGCAGTTTCGTCAAAATAGCACAAGAAATTATGGAAAGTATAGAATAAGATCGTCAACGACTTACGATTCACATCGAGGATGAGCAATTTGGTTTGCGGTGGCACCAAGTTCGTATTGCTGGCCTGACAGATGAGTCTCGCCTTGAGGTGTTGTCGTCCAATTTTCGGATACGTCAAGTGGTTAACCGTTAACCCATCCCGGGTATCGTACTGATAGGACTCGTCTATCACGGTATTGTCGAGATACCACGTCAGCTTCGGGAGCGGCTTGCCACCACGAACCTCGCAAATCAGGTTCACGTCGCTCCCCTCGTTGTACCGCTTCTCGATGCCCAAAACGGTCCTCGTCGCCCCATCCAATATTACCGGCTTCGATGGAGGCACTGTGCGAACAGCATGCGTCGTTAGAATCCAGCGCGGACGCTAATCGATCGTTCGTCTAGCGAAACGACAGTCAGCGCGAGAGATGCGTATGCGGTCGATGCGGTGGAATCCGGCAGAACTTTGGCGTTGTAGCAGAATTAACTGTTATAATGGCCGCAAAACAGGTCGTAGTTACGAAGTATATTACCGCGGCAGCTCCCCAGTTTGCGAGGCAAACCGCGGCTTACGCCGAGATTAATTTATGCACTGGAAAGTACCGAGTTCGTAAGTCAACGCTCACGACGAGATGTATCGAGGAGCAAATGTATATGTATCTAAATCAAACATGGCGCGAACTTTACGTATCGCGCGAAGGATCGAACGATTATATTTCGATGATTTAAATTACATATCGTAAAAAGCGATCTCGGGGGCTCGAGATCGAAGGTGGTTCTTGCTCCGATACTTGACGCGACCTCCATTACCGCGCCCTGATCAAAAGGACCGACTTTAATTGTTGCGTGATCACTGGTTGATTGAGTTTCACCGGGATACAATGCGCTCACCTATAACGGTTAAGTTCATCCTTTGTTTCCGCGTCGGCGAGTTTCTGAAGTCCACCCGGCACCGGTAGGTCCCCTCATCGGTGCTCTCCAGCCGATCAATGCTGAGGTGAGCTGGATTCGTCGCCGTGACAAAAAAAGCTCTTGGTCCCAATGCCAAAGGCGACGACCAAAGGCGGGCGTTGCTGTACTGCCGGCGGCCGCGTACGTCAAAGCTACAACAATCGATTATAGCTTCTGCAGTAAATTCAATCGTGAAGCTCCATCGTTTTTTCAGTTGTTATGAGATACGAGCGCATTATGAATGTATTACCGATACTCGATGTATTATTAATTATCAATGCTTGATATTACGCAATATTTCAACGTTTTTCGCTAATAGGCATAAAATACTAGAACGATTCCGATGGAATACGTGTCCCGTAATAAGAGTCCAGATACCAGTTTATCGCTGATAATTGCCGTTTTGCTCGTTATATACATATATCAAAAACTAATTTAATTACATAATTTGCGATGTAATTGCACCATATTCACATCAATTGAGATGACATACTGGCGTCGTTATTAAAAGCTTGTTGTGATTGAATTAATTACAGGATAACTAATGAACGTATGTTCCCGGGTACTTGTGATCGAATACCTATATAACATCGCTTCAAGACTTCTCGTCGATTATGATCTCACCGATTAAATATTTTTAACTAAATACTTCTAATTATCTCCAAATTAAATATCTCTAATCGATAAAATAATCAACACAATTTGTACTGTATTGCAAGTTTATAATTTACCTTACATTATATTAAATATTTATGACATGTAAAATCTAACGAAATTGCTGTTGCCATTTTCTTATCTCATTATATAACACAAAAGCTTTAGAAACGGGCGTAAATTTAATGTGTGAACTCGGATAGACTAAAAGATTAAAGTCGGAACATTATGTTCGTCGTTCGTTATGCTCGACGTCGAGACTTACGCCTGCATGTGACCCTACCGTCGCACAGAGCAGCAGCTTCGCTGAAGAATCGTTTGCGGAACTACGATCCAGGACTGGCGATTGGACAGGCGTGTCTATATACGGAGTCGCATGGGAGCCGTTCCCAGTGCAGCGTGATTGCATATTAAGCACTTGCGGTGAGCAAGAACAGGAGCAAAGGGAGACGGATTAGAGGGACGTTCGCGGGATGTATAAGAGACCTACTCCGCGTGGGACAGAAAGAAAAGAGGTATCTGGAGGGGGGAGAGGGGGGAAGGGAATACCAGGCGTAGAACCCTCCACGGCTCCTCGTGAGCGACTAAAAGTTAAATTGCGTTCCGCGACTGCACGGGAGTTCGGATTTTCGCTCGTGACTGAGTAGTCCCAAAGCTATCCCACCCTCACGCTCGCTTCCGCGGCATTGACGTTGAAATACGATTTAATTCTTCCACTTCGCACTTCCAGTGGACGAGGGGGGCGCTTCCGTGACGCGCCACCGACGCTGCCCGCCCGTCGTCTCGTTGTCGTAGACAGGGCGCGATGGAAGGAGGGCAGACCTCGGAGGAGAGGTCGGGCACACGTTCCACGAGGGCTGTCGCCCGGCACGGGAACGACCCCGCGGATATAACACGTTCGACCGACTTTTCTCGCGCGCGATAACCCTGAAAAGCGATTTTCCCATATCGGTCTTCTGACTTCAACCCCGGCGTTTTCATCGACGGCGGAACGACTCTCAAGATCGATCGGTCGCCTGCCTACTCACCCGACTCGTCGATCACGACCCGAGAGGCTGATTCGTCGAGACTTTCCGGAAAGGCATAGCCTCCAGCCGTTTCTTGGTTATCTCGGGAGATTGCGGAGCGTAGATGAACTTGTGTAGTTTTTTTTTATAGCTCGCGAGAAATCTATTCGTAAATGAGTAGCGCGCGTCATATTGAATTACCGAGCGCAGTAAATGAGATCTCAGTTAATGTTCGACAAACGTTTGTAGATTTCGTGTAGAAAATTAATTTCGTTTATTTCCATTCTCGTATTATATCCATAACTTAATCTTGATTAAAATAATATGAACTTTGAACGGCTTATTACGATGATATCTTAAACAATACTTGAGATATCTGCGAGCAAACGCGTCTTTCATCGCTTTCTATTTAGCTACTCTCTGCTAGGGCAAGCACTCGTTAAAAAATCGATCACTTTCGAGTCTCACGCAAGGAAAGGAATTCACCAGGTCGCTTCGGTGGATCTAAGTGTCTTGAAACTTTCCTGAGAGAAAACGTAGAATGGAATTGAGTGGATTCGATTTTGCGAAGTGTTATCTATTAAGGTAAAATGCGGAGACCGCCCGAGAGATTGTAAATATTACCGATCGTTTTGTTCTATCAAGACGCTGAGTGTTCGATATTACAGAGTAATATTGAAACTCAAAGATCTGAATCCACGATTCGCGAACAAATATTCATATCATGAAGAATGCAGTCAATCGTTTAAGCCCCCTCTGCCCTTCCATTCTCTAAGTAAATGAAAAACTAGATGACCTCCGTACCAATGTAGATAACCGAGGGAAAAAATTCAATCGTCTTCAAGGATTATGAAGGTTTTGTTGAATCAATAAAATTAACCAAAGAAAGAGAGAAAAGAACTCCCTCTTCCTCTTCTGCTTGAATAAGTTACAGCGCGAGAAAATCTTGATGAGACGATATGCACGTCACATGAGTTACTCCTGTCACGCACGAAGCATTGAATACATGCGCGAGGAGGAATATACTTAGAAAAGAGCTATGCGCGATCATGCCCGCGTAGCCTCGCAGTTTCCTTTCCTTAACTGTCTGGCGTACCTACGATAAGCGGGCACGATGTCATGCAATAAATATTTTACTGCGAGAGGTCCCGTGAAGAGAAGGGCCAACACGTTAGGGTACGTTACCGAGGCCGAGGGAGAGACGTTTTAGTACCGGCGCGGGCGGCCGCCTTTAAATTTAAAGTTTCTCGTCGTGGCGAGGATTAAACTGACTTTACAACAAGCGACGACCTGCACCCCCCTCGCGCACCAAGCGCCAGCTCCGGCATCTCTGGCATCGCTTCGCATACACTTTCCGCCGCCCTTCTACCTCGAGAGACGATGCATCGCCATCCTCCAAGCACATATCTTACACCTTATTACATTTCTTAAATATGACCCACCGGATACTAACGTCGGCCCGCTCCGCGGCACTTCTACCCCGACGACTCGACGGTGTGCCGACCATTCTATATGCAAAATTTCACGGGCCGCGGAAGCGAAACGGCGACCCGAGTACCGAATGAACTTCGTTGTGGAAAATAACGCGATGAATTTCCGGACCTAAGTACTTGAACTTATTCCTTTTTGATTTTTCCGAGGAGATACGCTTTATAGATGATACGGATAACTCTTCCTTCGAGAAGTTTCTTTCAGTGCATTTGGCTCTAGCACATTGAGATCTTATAATGAAGATGGAAAGTATTTTTGTATGCAAATAAAAAATAACTTTTTTTGTGATGCAAGCAAATGTGAATTTAAGAACATCGAGATTTGAAAGCAATTAGTGATTTTTAGTTTATGGATATGCAGAAATATTTTACCTGTAAATCGGTTCACTTCTGCCTTCCTTGTACCAAAGCACCATGTTGATTTCGTCGTTATTGGAACGAATGTCGCAAGGGAGCTGCACCTTGTTTCCAATGACACCGTCAATGGCAATGATCGGTACTGCAACAAAGAAAAAGATACATTGAAATAAATTATCTTTTTCCATGGAATATAAATGTAATTTTTTTTAAATGCTTTGAGTATACATTTGTTATTCTAATTGGATCAATATAGGTTCTTTACCATCATTAATTCAAAGTGTTAAACGCCACAGTTAAACAAATTATTGGAAAAAAGTTTTGCTGAAGTATTTAAAAATTTAGCTAGATACAGATCTGAAAATAATTGTATTGCATCATTATATAAATAATTATATAGGACACTCAAACTAATTGCTAAAATATCAAAACTTTTTACAGCATTATCATCATACTTCAGCGACCTACTATAATTATTTTGATGGCGCAACAAAATTATTTTCAGATCTGTATCTAGCTAAATTTTTAGATACTTCAGCAAAACCGTTCTTTCCGCAAACCCGTGCAATAAATTCAGTCAGAAATTGTATTCGATGTATCGACAAAAATGTTATAAATTTCACGATTGTTCCTCTTTTCTGACGACAGAGAATAATGAGCTGCTTAATCCGCAAAAACGTGGAAGCAGCTAACTACAATCAATCTTTAAGCTTTTAACAAGGTATCTGTAACACGAAATATTGTTACGGTAGGTAAAACGTTGGTGTAATGCGGTTTTCATGTACAAGAAAACACCGGGATTAGATCTCATTACACGAGAATCTAGCGGTGATGTACACGCTGACGGTTAAAGGCGAGCTCGTATCCGAGCTTAAGTCCCGCCATTCTCGTCAGTGATGGGATAGACAGTGGTTAACGGTGGTTTGATGTCGCTACGGTTTTGTCTGCTCGATTAGATTTACATGTAGATGGAGATATCGCGTTTTAATGAGCTGACTCCCTTCCTATAGCCCCCTCCCCTCGCTCTCTTTCTCTCTCTTCCTTTCCTGACAGTGACACTGAAGCTATCTTTCCGCGACGGCGCGTTCCCTGACGTCTCATCGGACTTCTCGATCGCTTCTCGAGAAGAAGCGTCGTGCCTCAGGAGCGATCGCTCCCAGGGATCCCATCGATCACCACGCTAGTATTTCGTCGCTCGACGTCTGATCGCAACAGGGTCGGCCAATCTCAAAGTCCACGGATTTCCGTCCTGAACTATAAAGCGCCGACACTTCCACGGAGAAGTGAACGGGGAAAAGGGTCGAGAGTGGCCAGGAAAACGGATCGCCGGTCCGAACGGTGACATGTTCCAAGGGAGCGCGCGCGCGTGCGCAGACCAGTGTGTTCATTCCGAAATCCGCGAAGATATTGCGTGAACGTGCGAAGTGCTTGCCGAAGGATCCAGAGCAATCGTGCTGAACGCTCTGAATTTGAAATTAGAATATCAGCCGACTTTCGGCAGAGCGATGGGTGGGTCGATATGAGAAACGCGATAAGCAAACATATACTGAGCGCAGTCGCCCTTTCTGCCTTGCGCTTATCCTGATTCTTGCTAGTGTAATAAAGTACTTTCGTGTATATATTAACAAACGGCAATGTGATCTTAAGATCTTAAGCCCGTTCTTCTTAACGTTAATACGTTAATATATTACATATACTATACATACACACACGTATGTATTGTAATATGTTATTAACTTTGTTAAATAAATGTTAAACAAGTATATTTTTAATTTTTTCTAACTTCTTACTAATTTTTTGTATTTTAATAATATAAATAATGTATCAAAGATATACTAATTTTAATAGATCCATTTATCTTGATTATCGCCAGCAATGCGCTTAACGTAATCCCAAAAAAAAATATTCTGCAGTTTAGCGGTTCCTGGTTCATGCTAGAGGATTTTCCTCTGAAATAGGGCCTTAAGAAGATGTTTTAAACTGTAGAGGAATATCCTCTAATCATGAGACTCTAGATTCAAGATTGTGCAATCCTCTTAATATTAGAGGACATTGATTTCCGATATTCACCCGAAATAAATAAAAAAAATTATTTATTTTGAAATTTTATTACTATTTTATAACTAAATTTGTTTCTTAAGATGTAGTCTATGATTATAAATATTTTTTTGTATTGGAAAAAACACTTACCTTGGTGGGATCGAACTCGGGACCTCTGGATCGTGAGCCAACTGCCTTACATGGTAGACCACTTCTTAATTTGATGTAAGTGTTATATATTGTCTACATAACCAGCGCAAATATATAATTTTCCAAAAATCATCTTAATAAACAAATTCAGTTTAAAAAGAGTAATAAAATTTTGAATTGGATATAAGATATATGATATAATATTTCTTAATGTCGGGTGAATGTCAGAAACCAGTGCCGGCTTATTATGAAATTTTGTGTTCGTAAATATATTTATGAAAATAATATGTTTATAAAGTTAAAACGTTAAAACATTCTTATCAAATCCTTACAAGGGCCTCAATAGACAAAAATAAGAAAACGTTTCTTATGGCATCCCTAATAAATAATGATCGGGACCTTATCCGGTTAGCCCTAATAAATAAGTATTTATATGAAGTTAAAACATCCTTATCAAATCCTTACAAGGACCTTATTAGATAAAAATAAGGAAACCTTTCTTATGGAATCCCTAATAAATAATGATAGGGACCTCATCAGGTTAAAATAAGGAAATCTTTCTTATGGCATCCCTAATATATAACTAATGATCGAGGACTTATGTTATATAAGGCCATTCTTAATAAAGACAACAGGCAATAGGAATAGGGAATAAAAATCAGAAATCAATGTATATAAATGCAGAATAAACAGTGACACAGGCAATAGACACAGGAGTTTCCGTCACGTTGGAAATTATGTGTCTATTGCCTGTTGCCAACAAATCATAACATTCGAATATTTTAGGTTGTAATTAACGATTTTTTATTATTTCCTGTTCCTATTGCCTGTTGCCTGGCATTGTGCAAGGGGCTGAACTTTCTACACGGGCGTCTCGTGTGGTAGCGTACGCATCGCGTAGCTAATAAGACGATCGTCTTTTAACTTTAACGCGCGCGCCGCAAATATCTAGCATATCCTCTTATTTTAAGAGGCTAATAGTAGAATTTACTGTAGAGGAATTTACTCTTGATTATAGCTTACGCATCCACTCATTTATAAAGTAATACGTATTACTTAAAGAAGGATATTCTTCATATAATGTTTTTTTGCTTAGAGGAACTGCTAAGAGGAATTCCCCACTTATCGGCAGAATATTTTTTTTTGGGTGTAGAACCTAATATGTTCGTTCAACAACGTGACATTTATAAATCGTGCGCGATTGTGTTTCGCACAATTAAGATATCTTCTCGTTATGTAAAACGATTCTACGGATCGTAAAACGGACACATTCTTCCGATTCTCATTTAATCCCGAGAAAAGTTTCGAAGCGGTTTCCGGAAGGAAACTCGAGGAAGCTCCGCACAACTTGCGGAACGTCCGCGGGCGTGACAAGCGCCGCACGCGAAACAATTTCATTTATCACAAGAAAAATAGCGGTTTAACTCCACGAGTGGGCGTATCATACATTTTCCGCGAGTTCGTGGGGGACAAGAGACGAAGGGCGAGAGCGAGGCAGTGGAAAATGGAAGACAAGGGCGGGTTGTCTCTTCTTTGTCGTCGTAACCGACGACGAGGAGAGAGCACGACCGCGAGTGTATTAGCGTGGATGACATCCCCGACGCTAGGTCGTCGCGGTCCCAATAGTAGGTACAGTTTATTGTGCTCTCCGCCGGCACTTAGAGTAAATACAGGAAGACAATTGTCAGTGCGTCAATGCAACGCTGCGGGCCACGGTCGGGATGAAACATGCGGTTCCGAATGTACGTTGTTGACGCTAAAAATTTGCATCGCGGATGAGGCTACCGATACGGCGTGGCACGAGAGCCACAGGCGGGAAAATTATTACCAGACTAATTGGTAGACCCGCGGCGGAAATTGCCCGTAGCACGGATAACCGTGGTTGCTGCCGCATTAAAGTTCGCAACGCCGCGCCGTCACTCGCTGTGGAATACACGATTGCCTCGTAAAGATAATTCCGAATGTTTTCCCGCTGCGTTCGATCGATGAACCGCGCTCGTTGAATCTACGTAATGTCTATTTTTCGCGAGAGAACGCGAGCGAACGATATCTATCGACGCGCGATCTCTCGCACTCGCTGTAAAAATCATTATTATGAGTAACGTGCACATCCTTCTCATCTTGACGCATACTTAACGACAGCTCCGACGTCGGTTGATGGAACGACGTCGTTTCTTCACTCCGTGTTGCTCACTGAATGGATATACTCGAGTCGTGTCATAATGAATCCTAAACGCCCACGTCGTTCCCGGTAGAGATCGTTAGAGGGAATCGTAGAGTTAATAAATAATCTTTCTACGTGGAAAACGAATCCATCAACGGTTACTCTCGTTAACTACACGATTGGAGGCAACATCAAACGTATACGCAAGTGCACGCCCTCTGAGTCTGGCCTTCCTTTACTTACCGAGCGGGGAAACCATAAATAAGTAATCTTCCCGTTTCCACGAATGCGCGGGAGGGCCCTGAATCTCGAAGATGATCGCCTTGGGTGAACGCGCGCGCAGGATGCCACGTTTATTTTCCTTTTTATTGACGACGTAAATTTAACGGATTTTATTTTTTTTTCCTCCTCTCTGATCTCTATTTTCCTCCTTCGCGGCTCCGCTCGCCATCAGGAAATGAAATACAACGTTATTTCAAGCGGCGGAGCGTATGCGGCTATTTTTTCCTCAGCTGATAGCCGCCAATATGTTATCAAACGATGAGAGATTCTGAAAAGCTATGTGTTCAAAGGCCAAAGTTCACAAACGTGAAAAATAGCCGAACAAATAAATAAGTTGCAGTAAACATAATATCGATTATACATATAACAGTTTCGGTGTGCATGCATCCAATGATATTTTTAAAAAGTTGAAAAAAAAATCTATAAGTGGTATTAAAACATTCAAATTAACAAAGTAAGAAAAGAGCAAAGTTCTCAATCCAGATATACGAAAAATTTGTCGGTAA